TTTAATGCAAGAGATGTAACTTAAAAAACAAAATGCAGTTTTTGCAGGCCTTGTTCTGTTCTTTGCAAACTACTTTGCATTGATTTAACAATGGTATGAGCATTGATCATTCAGTGCAGTGGCAAACTGCTGAATGTAAATTCACCTAGTAAATCCATAAATTCTGGAGTTAGTTTGCAGTGTCCTGTAAAGGATATGCAACTGTTATGTTCTTTATGGGTCTTCCATTTGATATTATCCATGTGTCTAGATGCCTAATTTCTACACTTGTTCAAAAAAATGCCAATGAATTTAACTAGATTAAGGCACAATCTAATTCTCTGATATAGCTATTGCTTGTGTATTTCTGTTGTTTAAGCTGAGACCCATTTTCCCCACTTGCCACAAACACTGTATTTATCATTTTGTGTGGTGGCTTCTGACTTGTTACCAGACAGCTGGTGCAGCAGCATCATGTTATTTATACTGTGACCACCAAATATAATCACTGACTGATTTTTTTTTTTTATAGATCTCATGTTTGCATAAAATGAAAACAAATCAGGGTAGTGATACTTTTTCATGCTAAAATATTTCTAAATAGTTGTTGATTGTTATAGCTGCTATTTTCTACCAGCATATATTCTTTATTATTTACATATCTTTGCCATGGTTAACTGCTGTGTTTGGCTATCCTTCTGACAAACCGTCGGTATAGATGGCGGAGGCAAAATATCCAGCCGAGCCACAGTCACAGGTCATTGCGCACTTGGGGTCACGGGTCAACTGCGCGATTTCAGCTACTTCATGTGCGCTTTTCCGGCGACAATGGCTACCGAAAGGTGGCCCCCACACAGTTGTTGGCGGGTAAACCGCCGGAAGACCGCAAATTAAGTAGCCGGAAACGCGCAATGACCTGTGACCACGGCTCGGCTGGATATTTTGCCGCCGCCATCTTTGCCAACCGCTTGTCGGAGCATAGCCCTGTGTTTGATCATTTATTTTTCCCCACACTATGAAATGTTCTGTGTGGTTTGTGAAGGACAGCTAAAAATTAGCTGCGACTTCTATCGCTCTTTCAGATATTGTCATGAGAATGTATATGGTATAGTTTTTTAGCCCTTTCTCTTTGCAAATCTACATGCATGACCACTGTGTTGGCAGCTAAATATGAGGCCCACTTCACTACCTGACTCCCTAGTGTCGTGACTGGCACCTTTCCATCTTTCTAGATGATAGTGTCATATTGTGCCATAAAAAGGCATGGGACTCACAGCCCATAGTGATGACGAGTGTGACTAGCAAGACCCGCCCGCATTAAGTCTTTCACAGTTTTAGCATGGGACTTGAGGACTGTTGTCAACATTTGTGTTTAGTCTGTTTCCTCTCAGATGCCCAGCTCCCATACCTTCACTCTCATTCCCCTCCCAATGTCCCCCGCACAAGGCCCATGGCACCCTGCCCCCATGAGTCCACCTCAACATCTGCACCATCCATGTCCCGCCCGCACACATCCTCAAATCACAGCGGAGGTGGACCCTGACATCCTCCCCCCACCCCTTCCCCAGTTCACCACAGAGGATGTCATCAGGGACTCTGCCACTCGCCAGTGTCTAATACTGCATGTTTCATTGTAGCTTGTGTAGGAGAGCTAATTTATTAATAGTAGTTAGCACAGCATAACCCATATATTCATCTACAGAATGGTATGTACATTATTCTACAGTAGTTTGGTCACTATAGCCAATAGATTTACAGAAGCCCCGACAGAATTGTGCATATTAGTTTACAGCTCCCTGTGTGGGTTCTGGGGCCCCATTATGGGGAAAACAAGAATAGGCCCACTGCCTCTCCAACAAGTGTGTCATAAGTCAATTAAAAGCTCCCTTTTCCACACCTTTAGGCATATTAGGAATATAAGGTTAGACATATTTTTATAGACCAATCGGCACTTGGTGGGTGATGTGATTAGCATCACCCCGGCTGCCTTTACTTCCCAGGACTGCATCTCAAGGCTGGGTCGACCTGGAAGTCAAGGTCATTTTTGAAAGAAAGTCCGGCTCCATCAGGACGTGAACTCACGACCTTCTGATTCGCAGGTGGGCGTCTAGCCAACAACGCCACGGTGACTCCCTAAGTGTGTTATAAGCTTTGACTAATCGGAAATTCCTTTAAAGTCAGAGTGTATCTGCCCAAGCGGCAAGGAAATACCACCTGCACAGAAATAAGTAAGTAAAACAGATGTACACACAAAACATAGACCCTGGCACACAGCTAAAATCCAAGTGGACAAACAAGGACTTTCAGCCGGAGCTTACAGCTGGTGGACAAAGAAGTTTGCATCAGCAGTTCCTAGTTTGCTAAGACCCACAAACCCTTTTATTTCCAAAGGTCTAACACAGACCGCATGCTGTGTAATAGCTGTACTGAAAAACTTTTAATTTATTTGTGTAGATGAATGATCTAATGTGTAGATCATAGACCCCTTAAATTTGTTCTGCAGGCCACCAGATGGGGAAAAACTGGTTTACAGTAACACAGACTACATGATAATAAAGTCTTCCACATTTTAATTCTTTGTGCATCACAAGAAATGAATTTATTAAATTTAAAAAAGTTATTTATTAGTTATGCACAATTGAACATAATAATTAGTGAGTAAACATATCTCCACATAAAAGAATGGCTCAAAAATTTTTCTATTTATGCACTGGCAAGATCTTCCGATATTTTATAATTGCATTGATGAAGTCAGTAAATTGTAATTTAAAAAAAACCAGTGGGTCTGGAAACATAATGTAGAAACCCACAAAATGCTCAGTTTAACAAAGTGACATTTTAGTTTATTTCAGTATGCGTGTTCACAAATATGCATATCAGTGGTTTTCTTCAGTGATGTTCTATCTAACTTTGAATATTTTGACTGAGTGCAAAAATTAAGGCTGTTTCAGTGTGCTACAGTGTTTAGAATGTGACACTGGTCTGGTACTTCATGGTTAGGACTTTTCGGGGTTTACTACATATGCACAGTTCTAACATTCTACAAAGCTTAATGTTTTATCTGGCAAAATTGAGAATATATATATATATATATATACCCCTTAATATTTTGTTAAATACTAAAAGAATACAACTATTGTTAAAAATAATTTGCTGTGTTTGATGTTTCTTCAGCTGTAATATAGGCACTGTGTTGTCCTTGTCCCAAGTGCTGTGTGTAACCTCCAGTTACTATTATATATTGTATACTGTGATTCGTTTTCTTACTATTTATTCACAAATGTGACATTTCATTTGCATGGTCTGTTATCTATACCATGCTCACCTGATCTGTTGTAAAAGTCACACAGGGCTTTTGTTTTTTAGGGTTTAAAAAAAAGGTGGTGCTCACAGAAAGTTCCTTTTACACTAGTACTGAAAACAAATGGTACATAACAATGGAAAAGGCCCTGGGGTCAGATATGTGCTCCATAGGATACAGACATATTTCTGCCCATTATATCCTTTTGTTCAAAAACAATGGCCCGCCCAAGAGTTTTTAGTTCAAATCCACTTCAGTCTGATGGATTTTTGTAATTCACCAGTGGCTTCTGAATCAACCCAGCCTAAAATGGGTACCAGGAAATGTCCTGGGGAAAAAAAGCAGACAGCATAGTGTTGACCACTTCAATCCACTTATTTAGGCAGTAATTTTGATAATGAACGCAAAACAAAGAAATTAATTATGACACAAATTTTCAAGGCATCAGCAGCTTTTAATAGCTTGAACAAAAAATGAAATTCTGAACCGTAATTTTAAAACCAACTTAGGCATTTTTACATCTAATGTTATTTTAGTTTAAACATATGCCAGTGAAAGTTGGAGAACCACTAGAGACGTGGAACTAAAGATAAATATGTTTGAAAACAAAGGCCTAAGGAAAATGATGAAAATAAAATAGGATGAATTCAAAGGCGTGAAGAAATAAGAGAAATGTCTGAGCAGCCACTAGTATCAATGCAAACAAAACCAAAACAATGCAAGTTAGTGGAACCTCTGGTTTGCTAACATATACAGCTGAATGGTTCGGGTCTAAAACAAGTCAGAGAATTTAAATAATATCTAAGAGGTATTAGTGCAGAATTGACAGAGAAGTAGAAACCAGATGTCAGAAAGCAAGTTCGCTAACATACCAATTGTCACCATTATTAAGACATCCTAACATAACATGAGTGCAACAACAACAAAAACCCAGATTATAAACATCATATTCATACCACCAGTGCCAAACACAAAAGATAGACATTATCTGAAGCCTAGGTGAACAAAATCATCACTTGCGAGATGTAATGCCTGAGAAAATCAACTAATCTAACCCTCTGAGATCGAGTGAATAATGATACTATCAGACAAATTGTGGGAACAACACACTGTACTAGATTTATTGAGAAACAGCAGATCAAATGGTCTGGCCATCTCGTTAGAATGCAGCAACATCAAATACCATCATAGACACTTCATCTCAGAAGATCAGCTACAAAGAGGATGGCTATGAAAAACATGGACCAACAACAATAAAGCCACTTTATGCTTTCATGATGTACACAAGATCGCAAATTATTTCTCCCTATGGCGCCTAATGGCAGAAGTGGTTTATGATGACAATGATGATGACTTCTACAGATCTGATTTTATTTACACTGCAGACTGAATTTTTACACACAGAAAAATGTACAATGTGCAACATCTCAGCATATTTTGGCTGCCCTTCGCAATATGTTTGTTAAAGGGCGGTTGTTATATTTTTTTTTTTTCCTCACACAAAACAGGAACCACATAGACAGGAATGTGATCAGACTACAAATAATCTACTGATGTAAGACACAATGACTTCTGTAAACTGGCATAAATTAACAAAGAACTTTCAAGTCAAGATAAACCCACAAGCTTTGCACCTCTATCAAAATTACAACTGACGATATCTTTTGAACCAAAGTATCAACAGTAAATCATTTACTATGATAAATCAGAATGCACACTGTTAAACTGATGTTGAAAACATGACAAGTGAGAGTCTAGATGGTAAATAGACATCACATAAGTAATGAGAACTGACTGCATCAAGACACTGAATCTCTGCTTTCTTCTTTATCTCCAGAAGCAAGTCAATCTGAGGAAACATTGCAGGGAAGTACATCAAGGAGAAAAACTACAAATAAGAGGACAAATCAAATCACAAGTTTTAAAAAAGGTGTTTCTTTTTCTTTGTTCGCCTTGAAATGGTGATTGGCACACTGTATTGTGGTTTACAGCTAGGCTGAAATATATGCACCTTTCAGCCCAACATTCGGATTTCAGCAAAACTCAAATATGTCACCTTTTACAAAAATGCTTGTCGTGGAATGGGAATTGGAGGGTGGGGGGGGGGGCGCTGCTCTTTTCTTTTCTCACCTAAAATAGGGGCCAGAATCCACACCAGGATAAAAGTGTTTCTTTTTTTTTCTTCTTTACTCTTTGTTTCAGTGACATAATCGTGTTATGTTTGTTTCCAGCATAGTTGCGATATTTGCACCTTTTGAAAGACGCACGACAGGTATCTGTTTACCAGGGTACAGCTTACCTGGTTAGTTTCCAGAGAGACACAGCGGAACATCTTTTAGCCTCTTTGTATGGTTTCTTTGTTCCCATGGTCTACAGGTGTTGCCCCTAGAGGACTTGTCAATGACAGTTGCAGGCAGACTGGTCGGCCCTTAAGGGAAGACAGTGGCAGAACATAGGCATGCCCCACCATCCAAGGAGGCTTCCACAAATGTAGAGATGACACATGGGGCTCTGGTACTGGGCTCACCAAAGGGATTACCATCTCCCAAACATGAATGCTTAACCTCACATCGGTTTACTGAGCCTCATCACTGGTTGCATCTTTAAAGGGATCAACAGGAAAAAGTGCGCAGATTTGAGATTCAGACTATGCTGCATAAAATTAGAATCTTACTTCCTCAGCATGTTAGATTGCTCTTATAGCCATTGACGCCTTGCACATATATGCTACGGGGCACTTAGCGCGGTAGTATAGGTGAAGCATGCAGCAAGCGTGGTTTCCCTTTTGGTCACGAGACTCTGACGAGTGTCCAATGGAGTACAGTTCTGAGCATTTTTTAAATAAAATCTTTGCACTGCAGACATCTTAACCTTTAGTGTCATACAGCAGGAAGTTTGCATGTTACACATCTGAAACTTGGATATCATTTAGTATGCCACTCGATGGAGCGACATTTGAACTTTAGTAGCGGTTTAGCAGTGCTCTTGGTTGACAGACATTTGTATTAAAGTTGTCATTTAGTAAGATATGAGGCCAGCAGTCTTCGTTCATGTTCCAAAAGACTTGTCGGCACTCCTCCGAAAAAACGGTCCCAAATGTAGGTCAAAAACATACACTGACAGGGCCTGAATACTTGTTTCCATTTGAGTTACAGCCATAACCCTTCAATTGTTTGGGTGTTAGGGCTAACCCTCACGAGAATCTGTCACAATAGTCCAAACGTGAAACTAACGACATCAGACGTTTGCAACAAGAACAGTCTACTGTGTTTCATATTAATCTGTGCATAGCAAGCCATTGTAACCGCTATAGTTTATTATTTATTAATATATATATATTTTTTGTTTTGTTTTAGTATCCAGAAGCCATGAGTTGTTGACCCTTAGGCTCGGTATTATGGATATCGCAACCTTTCGGCCTTGATTCCATTGTAAATACCGTAAATCTGGGAGAAAATGTGGCTTTCCTGCCTACCCCTGGGATTGAACCCGAACCACAAGGAGTTCGTCACCCGGTCTCCGCGCAATCCGGTTTAGCCAACTACGCTAGAGAGCTGGGCATTAATATATAAAAGTTGGCAGGTCTAACATCTACAGCTGCCAGTTTATAAATCAGTAATACACTATTGCTAATCTGTGTTGGAGCTGATGCCATATATGCCGGAGATAAATCCATCCTAATTTTACATATCATTTAATCCCTGTAATGGTAGGTTTTTAGCTAGATAATTTGGGGGGCCGTTATTCGAAGGAGGTCCAACTTGTCTATGCATACTGTCAGCCATGCATTAGAGGTTTTCACGAACGCCAGAGGGATTATAGACACCGCATCTCTGGGGGACCGCTAACTCTTAGATTCCATGCTAGCTCGATTTAGACCAGCGATTCTCAAACTGTGGGTCGTGACCCTTTCTTTATGGTGGAACAACCCTTTCACAGGGGTCGCGCCAAAGACAGCAAAACACATATTCATTGAAGTTATGAAGTAGCAAAAAAAAAAAAAGGTTGTATGGGTGTGGTCGCCACAACATGAAGAACTGTATTAAAGGATCGCAGTATTAGGACGGTTGAGAGCCACCGGTTTAGGTCATTTTCCTGGAGCACAATATGTATGGCAGGAGTCTTTCTGTGAGACCGGCTGAGCCTGCTGGGGCCTAAGGTGAGGCATACAGTGTACCTTATACAAAGCTGATGGACTTAACATCCTGTTATGCCCGTGACCAAAATCACAGCGCCACAAAAATGTGTTTAAAAGGTGACAGGACAGGCTTCCTTGTGGCAGCTTTATCCCTCATGGCTCCGTCTCTCTCTCAAGAGATTCTGATCTTTAAAGAACATTGTACAAAGCATGAACTCCTTAAATCCAAGAATGATCCTTCAGGGATCTTCAAAAACCTGCACTCACAAATCAAACTCTGCAGGATGAAACCAAAGCTAATCAAAGCACACACTGTATTAGTCTTAGGAATGGTCTACTGTTTCACTGTGTTTTGATCAAACATGTCACATTTGGTAGCGCACCATATCCCCACACATCATGCTAGCACACCATATCCCCACACATCATGTTAGCGCACCATATCCCCACACATCATGTTAGCGCACCATATCTCCACACATCATGTTAGCGCACCATATCTCCACACATCATGTTAGCCCACCATCTCCACACATCATGCTAGCGCACCATATCTCCACACATCATGTTAGCTCACCATATCCCCACACATCATGTTAGCCCACCATATCCCCACACATCATGTTAGCCCACCATATCTCCACACATCATGTTAGTCCACCATATCCCCACACATCATGCTAGCTCACCATATCCCCACACATCATGTTAGCTCACCATATCCCCACACATCATGTTAGCTCACCATATCCCCACACATCATGTTAGCTCACCATATCCCCACACATCATGTTAGCCCACCATATCCCCACACATCATGTTAGCTCACCATATCCCCACACATCATGTTAGCTCACCATATCCCCACACATCATGTTAGCTCACCATATCCCCACACATCATGTTAGCCCACCATATCCCCACACATCATGTTAGCTCACCATATCCCCACACATCATGTTAGCTCACCATATCCCCACACATCATGTTAGCTCACCATATCCCCACACATCATGTTAGCCCACCATATCTCCACACATCATGTTAGCCCACCATATCTCCACACATCATGTTAGCCCACCATATCTCCACACATCATGTTAGCCCACCATATCTCCACACATCATGTTAGCTCACCATATCTCCACACATCATGTTAGCTCACCATATCCCCACACATCATGTTAGCCCACCATATCCCCACACTTCATGTTAGCCCACCATATCCCCACACTTCATGTTAGCCCACCATTCCCCACACATCATGCTAGCGCACCATATCCCCACACATCATGTTAGCTCACCATATCTCCACACATCATGTTAGCCCACCATATCCCCGCACATCAATGTTAGCTCACCATATCCCCGCACATCATGTTAGCTCACCATATCCCCACACATCATGTTAGCTCACCATATCCCCACACATCATGTTAGCTCACCATATCTCCACACATCATGTTAGCTCACCATATCCCCACACATCATGTTAGCCCACCATATCCCCACACATCATGTTAGCTCACCATATCCCCACACATCATGTTAGCTCACCATATCCCCACACATCATGTTAGCTCACCATATCTCCACACATCATGTTAGCTCACCATATCCCCACACATCATGTTAGCTCACCATATCTCCACACATCATGTTAGCCCACCATATTTCCACACATCATGTTAGCTCACCATATTCCCACACATCATGTTAGCCCACCATATCCCTGCACATTATGTTAGCCCACCATATCCTCACACATCATGTTAGCCCACCATATCCCCACACATCATGTTAGCTCACCATATCTCCACACATCATGTTAGCTCACCATATTCCCACACATCATGTTAGCTCACCATATCCCCACACATCATGTTAGCGCACCATATCTCCACACATCATGTTAGCTCACCACATCTCCACACATCATGTTAGCTCACCATATCTCCACACATCATGCTAGCGCACCATATCTCCACACATCATGTTAGCTCACCATATCCCCACACATCATGTTAGCTCACCATATCTCCACACATCATGTTAGCTCACCATATCCCCACACATCATGTTAGCCCACCATATCCCCACACTTCATGCTAGCGCACCATATCCCCACACATCATGTTAGCTCACCATATCTCCACACATCATGTTAGCCCACCATATCCCCGCACATCATGTTAGCTCACTATATCCCCACACATCATGTTAGCTCACCATATCTTCACACATCATGTTAGCCCACCATATCTCCGCACATCATGTTAGCTCACCATATTCCCACACATCATGTTAGCGCACCATATCTCCACACATCATGTTAGCTCACCATATCCCCACACATCATGTTAGCCCACCATATCCCCGCACATTATGTTAGCCCACCATATCCCCACACATCATGTTAGCCCACCATATCCCCACACATCATGTTAGCTCATCATATCTCCACACATCATGTTAGCTCACCATATCTCCACACATCATGTTAGCCCACCATATCTCCACACATCTTGTTAGCTCACCATATTCCCACACATCATGTTAGCTCACCATATCTCCACACATCATGTTAGCTCACCATATCTCCACACATCATGTTAGCTCACCATATCCCCATACATCATGTTAGCGCACCATATCTCCACACATCATGTTAGCCCACCATATCCCCACACATCATGTTAGCTCACCATATCCCCGCACATCATGTTAGCTCACCATATCTCCACACATCATGTTAGCCCACCATATCCCCGCACATCATGTTAGCTCACCATATCTCCACACATCATGTTAGCCCACCATATCTCCACACATCATGTTAGCTCACCATATTCCCACACATCATGTTAGCCCACCATATCCCCGCACATCATGTTAGCGCACCATATCCCCACACATCATGTTAGCTCACCATATCTCCACACATCATGTTAGCCCACCATATCCCTGCACATCATGTTAGCTCACCATATCTCCACACTCTCATGTTAGCTCACCATATCGCCACACATCATGTTAGCCCACCATATCCCCGCACATCATGTTAGCCAACCATATTCCCACACATCATGTTAGCTCACCATATTCCCACACATCATGTTAGCTCACCATATCCCCACACATCATGTTAGCTCACCATATCTCCAAACATCATGTTAGCTCACCACATTTCCACACATCATGTTAGCCCACCATATTCCCACACATCATGTTAGCTCACCATATATCCCCACACATCATGTTAGCTCACCATATCCCCACACATCATGTTAGCACACCATATCCCCACACATCATGTTAGCACACCATATTCCCACACATCATGTTAGCTCACCATATCTCCACACATCATGTTAGCCCACCATATCCCCGCACATCATGTTAGCTCACCATATCTCCACACTCTCATGTTAGCTCACCATATCGCCACACATCATGTTAGCCCACCATATCCCCGCACATCATGTTAGCCCACCATATTCCCACACATCATGTTAGCTCACCATATTCCCACACATCATGTTAGCTCACCATATCCCCACACATCATGTTAGCTCACCATATCTCCAAACATCATGTTAGCTCACCACATTTCCACACATCATGTTAGCCCACCATATTCCCACACATCATGTTAGCTCACCATATATCCCCACACATCATGTTAGCCCACCATATCCCCACACATCATGTTAGCTCACCATATCCCCACACATCATGTTAGCACACCATATTCCCACACATCATGTTAGCTCACCATATCCCCACACATCATGTTAGCCCACCATATTCCCACACATCATGTAAGCCCACCATATTCCCACACATCATGTTAGCTCACCATATCCCCACACATCATGTTAGCTCACCATATATCCCCAACCCACACATCATGTTAGGCCCACCATATCCCAACATACACACATCATGTTAGCTCACCATATCCCCACACATCATGTTAGCTCCCACCATATCCCCACACATCATGTTAGCCCACCATATCCCCACACATCATGTTAGCCCACTATATCCCCCACCCATCATGTTAGCTCACCATATCCCCACACATCATGTTAGCCCACCATATCCCACACATCATGTTAGCCCACCATATCCCCACACATCATGTTAGCTCCTATACCACTCATGTTAGCCCTATATCCCCACACATCATGTTAGCTCACTATATCCCCACACCATCATGTTANTCATGTTAGCCCCCATATTCAATTCCCACACATCATAGCTCACCATATCTCACATCATAGCCCACCATATCCCCACACATCATGTTAGCCCACCATATCCCCACACATCATGTTAGCTCCACCATATCCCCACACATCATGTTAGCCCACCCACTTTCCCACCATCATGTTAGCGCACCACACATCATGTTAGCATATCCCCACACATCATGTTCACCCCACAATCATGTTAGCCCACCATATTCCCACACATCATGTTAGCCCACCATATTCCCCACACATCATGTTAGCTCACCATATCCCCACACATCATGTTAGCTCACCATATCCCCTCACCATATCCCCACACATCATGTTAGCCCACCATATCCCCACACATCATGTTAGCTCACCATATCCCCACACATCATGTTAGCCCACCATATCCCCACACATCATGTTAGCCCACCATATCCCCACACATCATGTTAGCCCACTATATCCCCACACATCATGTTAGCTCACCATATCCCCACACATCATGTTAGCCCACCATATCCCCACACATCATGTTAGCCCACCATATCCCCACACATCATGTTAGCCCACCACTTTTCCACACATCATGTTAGCTCACTATATCCCCACACATCATGTTAGCCCACTATATCCCCACACATCATGTTAGCCCACTATATCCCCACACATCATGTTAGCTCACCAGACCTCCACTGACAGAGATAAACAAACATCTCAACAGTAGGTAGGCAGACAATATGATAGTTAGACTGAGAAAGAATGATGCCAGTGTCATGTTCTTTTTTCTCTCTTATTATGCCAGTAAAAAATCTTTTATACAATGCTAGAGTCATATTGTTATAGAATAATTGGCTGTCTTTACTTCCCATGACATTTCTTGGTACCCTTTTTTTCAGGCTGGGTTGCCCTGGATGGAAAGGTCACTTCTGACACAAATATGACTCGCTGCAGATTTGAACCAAGACCTGTGGACCAGCAGGCAAGTCTCTAGCTACTATGCTACTGCAGCTCCATGTACCACAAGACAGTTAAGTTTTAAATCAATGCATGATGCACTCCTTGGTACTCAAAGAGTTAAGTTTTATATGATCAATATAAGATGCAATTTACCAAATGCTCGGATATAAGGGCTAGCACAAAGAGAAACCAAACCATGCTGAGACCAAAAACACAAATAAAAAAGATATCTCAGAGCTGGAATCTTTCAATCATACCATACCCTGATAGAAACATATCAAACATCACTTGTGAACATACCTGAGCAAGCATAGTTTCATCATGACAAAAATATGGCCTGCGTTTCAGGGAGACACACTTCTGAAGATCCCTGTCCGACATGGCACTGAGGGCTGATTCAGGTATATGAAGTCTGCAAGTTACACAAACAATATCAGTGGTGACATGGACAAGGTAAGCAAGGACATACAAGCTGTTAACAAATATCTGCTGATTTCTAATATTAAAAATTCTCAAATGTTCTACATATTTTTTAGACACCATGAAACTGCAAGATTGTCACAGCAATACCCTATGTTGGTAAGAGACAATCAGTATCCAAGTTTGGTACTCACTGCAGAGATAATGAATATGCTTAGACTGTTGTTTAGGTTACATATAGGGATAAAACCAAGCCATCGTCAGTTCACAATTCTTCCTTTTACGCAAGAATCAATAACTTCTTCTTCTTCAAGTTCACAGGTTGTAAACTCTGGCTGAATGCTCTGGGTGTTGGTCTACTTCTGGACTTAAGTCTTGTTCCAGAATCTGAGTGTTGCGTGCACATCTGTTTCACTATCTGGTTTATTTGCCCCCTACTTACCTTTCAAGCAGATACACTTGAAGTTCGAAGGGTGCCCCCAGCAAGTTGATATCTATGACATGCTAGTTGGGGAGGCAGTAAGTCTATTCTTGTTTCCCCACAGCGGTGCCCCAGAACCCCCATGGGAAGAATGTATAACTGAAATGAAAACAGTTATAACAGCATTTTTCCATCTTCCCTGACTATCTATTACAATACTGCTCTCAGATACTGAATGCTGTAACATTAAATCTTTCATGAAATGTTCATTTTCACAGAACATTACAAAGATGTAAAGTAAGGCATTTTCGTACTGGTCACTGTTACAAGCTTGTTAAATGTTGAGTGTTTTACACTGTTTTTCTTATGTCAGAAGATGAAGTGGCCAATTCCTTTACTTGAAGGGAAAGCAGGTAAAACATTCTATCAATTGACTGTGCTAACAGAAGTGATTAAAAAATTTTTTTTTTTTTAATCCAGAAACCATGAGTTGTAAATGTAAACCCTTTGGCTCAGTACTATTGATATCGCCACCCTTCAGCTTTGACTACATGATAGATACCATAAATCTGGGAAATATGTGGCTTTTCTGCCTAACCCCAAGCATGAACTCGGACCACAAGGAGTTTGTCACCTGGTCACAGCACAACTGGTTTAACCAACTTAGCTAGCGCACTGAGAATAACAGAAGTGATTATGTGACCCAGTTTCAAAAGCACTTAGTAATTTCACTCTAACTCATTAGCTGTAGAAAATGACAGGAAATGTTTAATGAAAACTTGAACAAATACCTGTGGATGTCTTCAGGCAGAATCCCTATCCACTCAATAGTTGGCACAGCAAGATGAATGTTATCATATGCCTGACGCTGCAAAAATTATTACGCTTAATGAATTTTCTGTTTTCAGCAAACTTATTTTACAGTAGCAATGATTAGGAATTTATCTTTTATAGTCCGTTCCAAAAGTCATGCCCAACTTTAAAAATCTGTGACTCAGTAACCTTTCAGTGTAAATTCGGCATGCACTCAGATAATAATCATGACTCTGTAGGAAATAATTATAGTGTAAACGAACATGTGGTTTCTGTTTTGCCTTATTTGTGGTATATAAAAAAAAACAAAAAACAGACACAAATTCAAAGCATACAATTAGCATGTTTACAGTAAATGGCTTGAAGCGAAGTTGGTAAAACATCAAACTGCACACATTCTGGAGGTAATCTGTGTGAGAAACTAAGGAGGGCTTTTTTTGAATAGTGAAGTGGATAGCTCTTATTATGCTATAATTACTGTTCGCATTTTTTTTAGGTGTACACAAATTATTAGTCCCACAAAGGTCAAAGAAATCCATCGTGTAAGAAAACAGGAGTACATGTGCAATTGTAAATTATAAAATCATAAGGACATGGACAATCTAAGACTAAGACCACATGCACAAATGTGGGTTGATTGATTCAGGAGTTTATGATATATCTGTTAGAAGCACACGACTTTATGAATGGACTATATCATCATTATTGTCATTTGTTAGGCCAATAGGCATAGGCAGTCATGGCTCATCTCACACGACTACCAGAATCATGGATCAGTGTAGCTGTTCTGTCCCATCATTTTGCAATGCCCTCAAGGTAGCTCTTTCTTTGTCTTTTTCTTACTCTTGTGTCCTGCTGAGAAAAAAGACCTTTTTCATGCTAGTGGTAGATAAATAAGGCATATGATGCTAGACCCATTTTCATAGACCAATCAGATCTTGATGGGTTATGTGGTCAACATCAAGCCAGCCACCTTTACTTCTCTTGACATTTCCCGATACCCATTTTAGGCCTGGTCAACCAGGCAGCCAAGGTAAAGTGTTTTTTTTTCTAAATCTGCCATGTGCAGATTCAAACAACCTAACCAACAACAAAAGCATACTTGACGGCCTCGTGCCAGTCCAACCAGATCCTGTCAAGCAGGAACAGCTTAGGTACAGATACTGCAGGGTGGCGCACAGGCCACAATGCATAAGGCACTATAACAGAGAAAATAGGCCAAAGTCCCATCACTGCAGTCAAGCTGTAGAAGAAGGACTGTTGTGGTGCTCAGAAGCCTAGAGGTTAAAATTATAACAAAATTTGACAGATTGAAAATGTTACTCGTGTTTGTAAGTTCATCAAAGTTACAGTGTGCAAAGAATGGGTGTTAAAAGGAAATTTGTATGAAAGGTAAACGATAAAATAAAAATGCTTGAACCTAGATTGCTAGTCTGAGTAGGCACCTGACAGCAAGATAGGCAGTTCATAGGTTAGTTTACACTGAGCATGTCAAGGTAACAAATACAGAAGGAAAATAAATACTTTACCTTTGAGCCATACTTGTACACTGCCATGATTTCAATGCCATGTGGGTCAGCATCCACAAGTAAAAATATGGGCAGTTTGAATGTCATCCAAAGCTGCTTCAACATGAGTCGAGTTCCATTATCAGGGAAACCTTTGCCCTTATGGAGAATTGTACTTAAATATGTATGTCTAACTAATGTCTCACAAAATACTTACAAATGACATCTACAATACAAACTGAGGGCTCAGACTGACTTTAATAACACAGACCAACAGCTGTCTAAGTTGACTACAGGCTTTTTAGATTACTGACACTTTAAAAAAAAAAAACAAATAAACAGTGTCTGTACATTGGTCAAGTAGGAGCAGAAAGTTGCAGCAAGGCCACTGGATCAGCCTTGAAAGTGCCTTGCCATGAGTACTTACATGAGGTGAGATCTGGTGAATGGCTCCACTGTGACCAAGCTTTGTCATTCGATCTGCGTACAATGTGTTTCCTCATGCGCAAACATGGTCAAATGGCACGCCACTAACGACCCGACATGACCCTTATGCAGAGTTAAGCAGACACTCGAGCACATACTGTCTGTGTGAAGAAATTACCTCACACAAAAAAAAGTTTTTTTCAATTTGGTAAGGCTGATTTTGCAATGTGGCCCGGGCATACGTTCTTTCTTATGTTTTTCAATGGCTCTTTTGCAAAACATTTCCCCCATGTAATGCTGATCACTCTATTATGCCCCCTCCTGATGATGTGTCTCACACATTTCCCGTTTTTTATGTTTTTGATCCAGTAACACATGCAACTTTCTGTCCATCTGCACTTGTTTTTCTGTGTCTATAATACTGTCAACTTTGTTTTCTAAAACCAAATTTCCAATGCCTCATTTTCTTTAACATTTTGTTACTTACTGTCAAGCATTTCCATTGATGCAGTAGAGTAGCCTACACACAACTTTTCACTAAAAAAATTGTTTTTACATGTAATATGTCTGTTATTTAAGGTGTTTAATTATCGCTTACAAATTTTGAATATAGCGATTTATTATATAAAATGTCAATGCTACATCTTTTATCAGATATCACTGTGTAGACTTGGTATTTAAAACAAATAACTTGTCTGCTTTTAATGCCCTGAATATATACAAAGCATATTTTAATGTTTTTTTTCTTTCTTGGATACTTTAGTTTGCTGATCTCAAATGAAAACCCCTTTTTTTGCTCTTGTCCACCTCATCTGGAAAAGTTTGTAGATTATTTTAAGACTCTGACAATAAAACTGTGCCATTAGCACACTTCTGAGTACCCAAAAACAGCATTAACACAATTTCTAAGGGATTTAATAATTAGCAGTTCATATTTTTAAAATGTTTGCTAACTGGTGACTAATACATGTAATATAATACATGTTTTCTAAGTATACCATACGTTACTACAGAAATACTGTCCAAACCATTTATGAGGACTATAAATCAATAATTACTCATGAATTCTGAAACCATTTATGCAAAAGAACACCGCATGACGATTTAAATGTACTTTTAGCTAACAGGGAATAAGTGGTTGGGGGGGGGGGGGGGGGGGGGGGGGGGGGGGGGGGGGGGGGGGGGGGGGGGGGGGGGGGGGGAGGGGGGGGGGGGGGTGTAAAGGACCAATTTCAATGAATGCCATTCAGGTGTGCTGGGTATATAGGGCTAGACCTATATTTTATGAATCAATTATAACTCGGTGAGTGACGTGGTCAGCATCATGCTGGCCTAACAAGAAATACTGTAGAATAAAAGTGACAAACAAATAAGTGTGCAAAGAAAGTAACAAATTTATCCAAGTGAGAATAATGTACATATACAGATACAAAACTAACTACAGTTTAAAGACTCACAGTTATCAGAATACAAGGTGCCATTTTCTGGCAGAAATTACTGCTCATCAACTTTTGAAATGTTGCATCTTTTTCTACCACCAAAACAAAGTTAGCTTGTGTCTGAATATCTGCAAAATAATTTGGAGACATAACTCTAAACATATATTCACACTACATTCAGAATGTAAATAGGATAAAATCCAGTGCAATGAAGTCTGTCCTGTCAACTTTAACTTTTTAATTTTGAGCAACTGGAAATGTAAGCAAATGAAAATATTTAATAGAAAATCTAATAAAATGTTGCAGCGTCCATGTGTGACGTAACGGCCCACTTCCCTTGAGATTACAAAACTTTAGTGGTGTTGTAACGGGTCCTGGGTTCTCTGGATTTGGGTTTAACTGAATTTTATATGTTGAGTAGGGAATTTTCCTCTTAACACATCCCCTACACCAGGTTAACTGAACTAATATCCGGGCTATGTTGCTCTCAGACAAAGTCCTGGATATCTTAAAAAACAGTCATATTGGCTCATTAATTATTTTAACATTAGCTGCACTTGGTACCCACAAGAGAAGGAAATCGGTTTTAGATGTCTATATATTATTATATTGAATGATTTACTAGACAGGGCAGTTGACCCATTCCGTCGACCTTCCCTTGGTAAAGAATTATTATTATTATTATTATTATTATTCAATGAGCTCCCACCAAATGCTATTCTATCTTAACAGTTTAATTACACATGTAAAGACAGGCACACTTGGAATTATAAAAACTGATGCAGGATAAGACCATATAATTGATTTATTAACCTAACAATCATTTTGGTTATTTATATTTTTAGTCAACAGTGATGGTATGGTGGTAATGAGATGCTTCAGCTAACTGAGCACCTAAGATTAGAGTGAAGTGATAATGGTGGTGTTTAGTTACATAAATATATGATACATAATTTTTTTTGTTTTAGAAAAGTGGAGCTTCTGAGATTCCCTGTGTTGAGTCCCTTCTTAGCCGTTCCAACTTTTCCGCCCAGTTCTCCTGGTCCTTCCACCTGGTTTCCACCTTGTTTCCTGGTTCCCACCTGTTTCCCAGCTGGCCGAGTTCTAACACAATGTAGTCTCGTGACCGTGATGACCCTCTATTTCTGTTCTTAGAAAAGACTGATCGTCACATGGAAGCTGTAATCATGGAAACAAACACATACGTGTAGTATCTTGACTTACACTAAGAATACATGTATTAATTAATACAATATATAATAATACATTATATCTCATCACACCTCCTCATATTCCACATTCTCTCCAGTCTAGTCTGAAGGTCTTTGTGTCTCACACCGACGTCTAACTTATCCTGCCTTCCCTCTCCTGTTCTGTCATGATAGTTGACTTTCTGTTGTCCGTCATCACTCAGACTTCCAACTGGCTGACATTGATTTGACATAAACATGTGGCGCAGGTTATGTGCTGAACACGCAAAACATTTTATACGTGCATGCTGTCCTGAATATTATCTTTCAGTGACAGTGAATAATATACACCCATGATTCTTCCCCTGGGGTTATAAATCCCCTGTTTAGGTAAACACATTAAGTGAGCGCATGGTGGGCACACAAAACGTAACAGCATGGCTGCATATGTGGGCATCATTTCCCACAGTCCAAACTTATGTTTTGGTTGATGGGTGAAACATTATAATTTCATTACATTTCAGGATGCAAGTCTTATTTTATAAACATGAAAACATACACTGAAAAACATGTGGCACAAACAAAATACCAGAAATAGAAAAAATGGTTTAGCAGTTCCCTAACTGAGATACTGAATACTCACAAAGAACTATTTCAAGCAGAATGTGTAGAACAATTAGGAAAAGGTAGAATAGGCTTAGCTAACTCCCTAACCTATGTATAAAAGATTGAAAATAATTGTACAAGCTTACCTGGGACATTCCAGCAATCGCCAAACCAGAATCAAACAATTAGAATTACCTCTAATGTCGACCTCTGTTTGTTGCTCGTGGCAGTGATTGTGACGGGAATTCCAGAGGCTAGTCTTATTAATACCTCTATCTGTCTGCAAGGTTAAACTCCTCCCTTTACTAGGTTCTACCCAACCCTCCAGGAGATGACCTAAGCCACGCCTCTGAGGTACCTTGCAGATTAACATAGCTATCAATGGGTCTGTCACTCAAAGTAAACGGCCTACAGTACGACCTTGACCAAGATCAGACATTCCTACTTGGCAACCATCTGTTCTCCTGAGAATTTCACTGACATTTGTGAAACTCCAGCCACTAGACGCCATCATTGTCTAGCGTTGTCTACCAAACCACTTAATTCCCCTGATCTGCTCTGTTTAAAAAGGCCCCACTAAGTCTGTGTTATGTAACATTTTATGACACTAAGGTTGGCTTCATGGGAGATAATCTCAGGTGTGAAAATTAGTTCCCAGTTGCTGGCCCCTACAGTTTGTGGGCAGGAGATAATTATATGACACTGGCTGGTGAAAGGAATCCCTAACTAAGGTAGTATTAGGTAATATTACACAAAGCGGGGTTGCTTTGTCTGGCGAGAGGCAGGGAAACAAAGTTTAAACAATTTTCAAATCCCTTGTAGTGGTTTTAGAACTATTTTAGGCTCAGTGCATATTGCTTATAAATCTTTGTCCTTCTCTGAACATAAGAAATTATTAAACACAATATAACTTATGAGACCACTGAGGTCCTTTCGTCACACCATAGCTAAGGCGATGCGAGTCCAACTCGTAATCCAACGTACCGCGATCGAAACCCACTGCAGGCTGCATGGATTTTTATCGTGGTATGGGACATCGCAGGTCGACCCAGCCTCAAATGGGTACCAGGATGGCTGTCCTGGGGAAGTAAAGATGGCCAGCGTAATGCTGACCATATTACCCACCGAGTGCATATGGGACGCTCTGCCCATATGCTCTGTAAAAAATATGAGACGCTCTGCCCATATGCCCGATGCGCCGAAAGGCGTGAAAAGTGATCTTTTTTTTTCTTGTTTTACTAATAAAATGTTGCAGAAAAGAATGGATAAAAATGTATTCATATGTCAACCAAGTTATTACCAACTCAAAGAATGCAACTGTATGTCAACAAAGAAATATAAAAGAAATATACAGCTGAGTGCCGCCTTCTTAAATAACAAGGAAATTAACAAGTGAATGCAGCAATCACTAAACGTAAACAGACAAGTGAGTGCTGCAATCACTAAACAATGTAAACAGACAAGTGAGTGCTCCAATCACTAAACGTAAACAGACAAGTCAGTGCTGCAATCACTAACCAATGTAAACAGACAAGAGAGTGCTGCAATCACTAAACAATATAAACAGACACGAGAGTGTTGCAATCACTAAACAATTTAAACAGACAAGAGAGTGCTGTAATCACTAAACAATGTAACAAACAAGTGAGAGCTGCAATCACTAAAAACCATAAATAGACAAGTAAGTACTTCATTCACTATACAACATAAATAGACATGTGAGAGCTGCAATCACTGAACAACAAAAATAGACAACTGAGAGCTGCAATCACTGAACAACATACATAGACAAGTGAGTACTGCAATCACTAAAAAACATAAACAGACAAGTGAGTGTAGCATTCACTATAAAACATAAACAGACAAGTGAGTGCTGCATTCACTAAACAGAATAAATAAACCTGTGAGTGCAATCACTAAACAACATAAATAGACAAGTGCTGGCATTTACTATAAAACATAAATAGACAAGTAAGTGCTGACATTCACTACAAAACATAAATAAACCTGTGAGTGCTGCATTCACTCAAAACCATAAATAGACAACTGAGAGCTGCAATCACTGAACAACATACATAGACAACTGAGAGCTGCAATCACTGAACAACGTAAATAGACAACTGAGAGCTGCAATCACTGAACAACATACATAGACAACTGAGAGCTGCAATCACTGAACAACATACATAGACAACTGAGAGCTGCAATCACTGAACAACATACATAGACAACTGAGAGCTGCAATCACTGAACAATATACATAGACAACTGAGAGCTGCAATCACTGAACAACATACATAGACAACTGAGAGCTGCAATCACTGAACAACATACATAGACAACTGAGAGCTGCAATCACTGAACAACGTAAATAGACAACTGAGAGCTGCAATCACTGAACAACATACATAGACAACTGAGAGCTGCAATCACTGAACAACGTAAATAGACAACTGAGAGCTGCAATCACTGAACAACATACATAGACAACTGAGAGCTGCGATCACTGAATAACATACATAGACAACTGAGAGCTGCAATCACTGAACAACATACATAGACAACTGAGAGCTGCAATCACTGAATAACATACATAAACAACTGAGAGCTGCAATCACTGAAAAACGTAAATAGACAAGTGAGAGCTGCATTCACTAAAAAACCAATACTACTCAGTGTTGCACTCATGTATCAACAAAGAAGAAATGGAACATAGTTGAATTATGTGTGTATGCATGCGAGCATGTGTATCTGTGTTTATATGAATACACACACACGCATACACCAAGTTTAAAATGTTAAATTCAAAACTGAATAAGGGGTTGGGGAAAGGGGTGGGGGGGGGGGGGGGGGGGGGGGGAGAGTAACATAAACAAACAGAACTTTAACTTCTTGTCTGGCCTGTGATGACATACTCTGCATATCTTTGGTATGAGCAGCTATTTGAACACCCTGGAGAAAGGAGTAGTGACATCCAAATGATTTCTTAAACTTACTTTCTTCGTTACTCTTCTAAGTAGTGAAAAAAACCTGTTTTATACTTTGAGGTGTGCTGGGCACATTTTTACAGACCAGGCGACAATCAAACACACTGGCCACCTTTACTGAACCAAAAATGCCCTGGAACCAGGGCAGGGCTAACCTGGGAACTCATACCCATCTTTAAAATCTGCCATGATAGGAATTTAAACACAGGACCACAGGGCCAGCTGAAAGCACCAGTTGCTGAGAGCCGGTCTGTGAGTTGATGCTAAGAATGTAGCGCAGAGGAAACTATATAGTGAAATTAAAGAATAACTTGAGCAGCCATGCTGCATCACAATTTCCCAGAAACTTGGTGACAGTCAAGTGTCAGCAATTTGGGGAATCCAGCAGGCTTGAGCTGGTGATGCCATGGGTGCCACTGTGATTCTATGGGTAAAGTAACATAAAGGACCCTTTTCCCCAACTTCAGGTACTTTACTGGACGTAAAGTACTAATCCTATATTTTATAGACCCATCGGCACTTGGTGGGTATTGTCGTCAGCACCATGCTGGCTACCTTTACTTCCCAGGATTGGACCCATTACCCACTCTAGGTTGGGTCGACCTTGGAGCCAAGGTCATTAAAAAATGTGGCTCCATCAGGACCCAAACTCACGACCTTCCGATCTGAAGCGAGTGTCTAGCTGCTACACTACAGTGACTTACCGATTCTATGGGTGCCACAAAAAACAAAACAAAAAAACCAAAAAAAATTATATGTTAAAATAATTTCAGAGTTGGTTGCATATTGGCTGTGAGTGGACCCTGTTCTAATTCGTTCACAGCAAGATGTAATGAAGAGGTCACTAACCAAGCTTTAATGTCACTATCTAAGAACATTAAGAGAAGGTTTGATCTACTTATGATCAAATACACACTCTGATGGTGGGTTTTGTCATGCAGAGTATCAGTGAAATGTAAAGCTGTTAACAAACAGAAGCAGCTCCATCTAGAAGGTACACAGGATATGCTGGACTGTACAAATTGTGACATCAGGTCTATGAACCACCATGATCGCTGGTGAGGAGTCATGGGTTTCCAAGTACAACCCAGATACTGAAGTACAACTGTCACAGTGCAGATATATACTCCTGAGGTACAGTTCACAGCAATATCATACGGATGTTGATCTTTTTTTAACTCACAGGGGTTAGTACATCAAAAGTACATTCAACAAAAACAAAGCAATAATAAACAGTACTGCCTACAGGGCAAGTCACTTCGTCATGCTGTGTGACACAGAAGACCTTTGGGGGCCACGTCAGCGCAGTCGATAGAAGACTCACTTTCAAATCCAGCTGCCACTTGCTGCAGCCCACGGTCGGTGTTTGAAACCGGGTGGTTCCCGGGGTTCACCCAGCCTCTAGAAAATGGGTACCAGAGTTGACACTCTGAGGTAAATGGAGGAACGTCGCTGTAGCTAAGGAGATACGTGCGGACGGCGACACAGCACTTATTGTTTATAACTGTGTGCAATAATGTTGGTTCACATTTCCCGACTTTACCTTTTTTTTTCACAAAAAACCAGAACTTTGCAGCTCCATCATGATAAAAACCCGTCAGTTTTTCATATCAAATTCAGATTTTATTGACCCAACACAACATGCTTTTGGTTCATCAGACTACACACTTCCCTTGTGATTTTTGACTGTTTATCTGAGCTGAAAATGCCACTGACAGGCATCTGATTTGAATCAGGAGAAAACATGTGGAAAATGACAATTACGATGTACTCCATTTTCAAATAGCCTTCCTGAAATCGTCCAACAATGGCGGGACTGCTGGAAGAAATGTGTGCAGTACCAAAGAGACTACTCTGAAGGAAATTAAGAGTTTCAGATCCCCAGGTAAGTAAATTACAAATAAACCTCACATATATAATAGAATTTGTGCATATTATATTTGCGAATATACTAACTAGTGTGGGTACTAACTAATAAGGGCAGTGGCCATAGCAGAGCGGTTAGACGCTCGCCACGGATCGGAAGGTCTATGGTTCGCTTCCTGGCAAAGCCGGACTTCTTTCAAAAATGACCTTGGCTCCCAGGTCGACCCAGCCTTGAGTGAGTACCGGGTGCAGTCCCGGGAAGTAAAGGCGGCCGACGTGATGCTGACCACATCACCCAAATTGTGCCGATTGGTCTATAAAATTTAGGTCTAGCCTTATATGCCCTATACGCCTAAAGACGTGGAAAAGGGTTATTTACTTTACTATTAATGGATGAACAATATGTTCTCATAAAATTTGTTCAATACTTTTTGATATATTTCAACCCAGAAAGGTCACAGAAAATTGTGACAGAAATACAGGCTAGTTTTAAAACTGTATGCATTTAACTAATGGCAAGAGAGAAGAAATCATAGACACAGATCTACAAGTATTGGATCAAAGATGCCTACCTATCTAGCAATAGAACAATAATGCTGTACGGCAATGACACTAGTCTGATATGAACATTCTTACAGAGATACATCAGCAAATAATGAACAACCTGACCTGTGTGGCATGCTGACAGTCTATCTGTGTACCCTTGGCATCTTCAAACTGCAAGTTTCCTGCTACAAGACCTTTACTGGTAGCTAGCTGTGAATATAATTTTACAGTCATATCTAAAAAAGAAGATTAAATTAGTATTTTATGCTATATGTTCAAGCATAGGCCTCAGAACCTGGAGGATCAAGGTCCCTTGAGGCACCTTTTCCCCCCTCCCAACCCCAGTAATAAAAAAAAGGGGGGGTTGGGGGAGGAGTTTGCTCAGCATCATAGCGCATTTGCTTGTGCGCATGCGTTCACATACACACACACACGCCGACACACACATATTTCTTAGAAAAAACACTACTTGTTGCTGTTAATATACTATCCCACCCACCTCCATTCATCTCTCTCTAGTTGGCATTCTCTTTCCAGTTGGTGACTCCAAGTTTTTGAAGGTCTGCATGCATATTTTCTCTTCACCATCTTCTTGGTCTGCCTTGTGGTCTACAGGCATTCAACTCCCTTGTGTAAACAGTTTTTGCTTCACTGTCATCTGCCATTCTCTCAATATGCCCCAGCTATTTCAGTCTATTAGACCTCATGATGCCAGTGATCAATGGTGAATAAACAGATGATTAATTTTATTGCTTTCCATTGTCTGCTGTTTGCATCTTTATGGGTCAAAAGAATTGTCACAAAACTCTTTTTTTTTTAAATGTGTTATAAGGTTTCATCTCTTTTAGCTGTGCTTCATGCTTCAGAGTCATGTAAGACAACTGACTGACTGATTTCTACCCCAACAGGACATCACACAAGCAATAAACACCCGATGACACCATGTGGGTGAGGATCCCAGAAACCGCGTTCAGCCTTTAGACCATATTTATGGCCAGGCTATATTGCGGCTCCTGGCAAGAGCCAGAGTAGGGCTTCAAATAACGAAAAATTCCATCCTAAAAAGGACGGGAAATAGATAGGTACACATGAGTATATATATAGGACAACTGATCTCATTAGCATTTTATATATCATGTTCTTGTTGGGGAAAAAATGGAAGGCAAAAATGAAAGAGAAAATAAAAACACTATTGAAATAGAAGGATAACACCAGGAGATACCCTGGAAATAAAATGTTACACTATATCATTTCCATATGCGGTCAATTTATGTTGCGACAACAGTATCGATAAGAATAAGACTGGAACCCATACTGGGAAACCATTATGGATTAATAGGCTACTGCCTTAACCACTTGGTCAACTTGTCCCCTATTAATGTTGGATTACCCCTGTGTAATCACTGTTTCTTTTAAAACAACCAAACATGCCCACTGAATCCACTGCTGATTCACATTCATTACGGCTGCCTCTAACAATTATCAGCTAAGTATATGGATCACTGAGTCAGCTTGAGCAAATCAGCACCTTTGAAAGAACTTGCTAAGAACAGGGAATATACCAGCTTTATAACAATGCTAAGTTTTTTTTTTAAAGAGTTTTTATTAACTGCAATTCTGAGCTCATATGAAGGATACTTTTGTTTATGTAAGCCAGGCAACAAAAGATTAGACCATATAATATCATGCAACAAAAGATTAGACCATATAATATCATGCAACAAAAGATTAGACCATATAATATCATGCAACAAAAGATTAGACCATATAATATCATGCAACAAAAGATTAGACCATATAATATCATGCAACAAAAGATTAGACCATATAATATCATGCAACAAAAGATTAGACCATATATATCATGCAACAAAAGATAAATGAATCAATCAAGAACTGACATCCCTGCACTCTGGAAAATCCCATTTGTGCTCCATCTCCTTCTTCAGCAGCCAATGAAGAGTCGATATGCTAATAGTACCTATTACAACCTGACTGAAAGTCTGCATCTGTTTCCCTCAGTGTTGAATATCTTCCAGACCCCCTGCTCACCCACCACTGAATTAGTCTGTCGATGTATGGATCCTTGGCCTCCTCTATTGCACTGTCCACTTGATCCCAGACAGCCTTCACGACTTCTGCTTTATCATGTATAGCTCACCTTACAATTGGTAATGCAAGTATGTACCGCATGCATACAATTGGCATGTCCATGTTCATCCCAAAATGACTCGTATGACTTCCTTAGTCATGTGTTCTAGCTTCTCTAGTTGGCTGTTAGATGTGAGCAGGCCCAAACCATACTCCATCACTGAAATAATCATACGCTGATGGAATGTATAGTACATTTTTTGTTTTACATCCGCTAATGCCATCACCTTCAACGCATTGAGTTCTCTCCTTATCTTCAACACTACCTCTTCCACGTGGTACATGAACGACAAGCTCCTGTCAAAAGTTATACCAAAATATTTTAGTGAATTCTCTCTCTTTATATTACTACCATTTATTGTGATGTTCGGAACCTCGTCCCTAACAGTTATATTTATTAAAGAACACCACAATACCGTTTGGTTATCCAGATAGATGGTAGAACCTGTTTCATCACACCATATACCTACCTTGTCTACCGCGGCCTGCAATTCTCAAGATAATTCTATCCTATTTCTCCACAATCTGTAGACTAAAACATTATCAGCATAAGTCACAATTCTCATAATCTCGACTGCCTCTATCCAGCTTGTGTACACACTGAAAAGCACAGGGGAAATGGTGGATCCCTGTGGGAGGCCAAGCACGATATTACATGGTTCAGAGCCCACAAACCTAAGTTAAGCAATGTGATGTTCAGGAAACAAAAGATTAGACCACATAAGAAAAGTCAAACAGTTAATAACTCTATCTCCTATCTACTCAAATGCCTGGAAACATCACTTAGCAGTCAGTGACAACCATCAGCTTACTCTGTAGGTTCTTCATCTAACTACAGTAAAATGTAACTCCATAATAATGGCACTAGGCTCTAAAGTACCATTTATTTGGCAGAGCTACTACAATAACAATAAAATAAGGACAGTAATAACACAGATACATTTTGAGCCTCTTTTGCGGACTTACAATATGAAGCTGCCATCTAGGAATTTTCAACATGCAGGCGATGTCATCAATGATCAGATCCACAGACGACTGCCGCTGATATAAATCTGGATACTGGTAGAAAATGTCTCTAAAATAGAAACAATAGATTTGCACCCCTTTAACTTAGTATACTATGTACCACTTGAACAGTTACAATGGTTCAATTATAATAATCATTTTACCAAACCAGCTGTAAACTCTAGTGGAAAGTTTTGGTTGTTCGTCCACTTCTGGACTGCAATCCTGTTCCAAAACCTGGGTTTTGCGTGTGCATCCGTTTGACAGTTCTGAAACATTTGAGTGCAGACTGTTGGTTCCTTGCCTCTCAGACAGATGCACTCTGACTTCGAAGAAAGCTCTCTATTAGTCGACTCTTACGACATGCTTTTTGGGTAGGCAGATATATATAGACACACACACTCACACAGAAACAGAGAAAGAGTCAAAAAGCTAGGGATCTGTATAAACTGTTCAGTACTGTATAAATTAGGGAGCCCTCATAATTTAGTGGCTAGATGCTTGCCTGCGGATCCAAAGGTTGTGCATTCAAATCTGAACAACCCAAAACTTTTTTTTTATGTTCCTGATTTCCGGGTCAATCCAGCCTTAAATGGGTACCAGATAGATTCCTGGGAAGTAAAGGTGGCTGGCATGATGTTCACCCCATCACCCACCAAGTGCCGATTGATCTAAAAAAAATATAGGTCTAGCCCTATATGCCCAATACGCCTAAAGGTGTGGACAAAGGTTCTTTAGTTTACTTACTGTAAGAGTTATTATTTTGCTTCACAGAAGATGTCAGAGACTGCTTAAAATCAATTGATCACCTGTTTATGTAAAGAAAAAGGACCTGGTGACATCTAATGTTATGTCTAATTTCCACGCACCGCCCATGTCAAAGGTGTCCTTATTTCACCAAGGACGTCTAAACTGACAGAACAAAAACTAAGAAATATCAACAAATAAGCTAGACTCAACCTTTTAGTGCAAAATCGATCTTCCTGAATCAGAGTGTAGATAATGTTCAAAATTTTCAGCATGGTAGCTGCGGAAGTTACAAAAACACAGAATCAGCCAAAAAACTGATTACTCAAGTGATGATTGATACAATTACGACTTATTTCAAAGTTAATGCTGTATTAATTTACTAAATTATATTCTATTTATATTTGCCAGCTCCCACCCCCCTCTCCCCCAGATTTAAATCCCTGCAAACCAAACCAGTAAACACTGATTTATAAACAAAAATAAAATCTTCCTTCAATTGTACATGTGCTGCAGATGACACACCAGCTGCAACAACTGAAGCAATTTTGGTTCCTCTATAATTACTTTTAACTTGAAGTTTTAATGTTTAGTTAGCAGGCGAGTAAATCTATCTTAACTAGTTGTAGAAAGGACCATTGTGTAAATGCTCAGGAATGTGCTTAATCCACACAAGAATAGTGATACAAAGCATGTGTCTGTCTATACTGCCGTATCCTGAAGTAAAGAAAGGTGATTTCTTTCAGCTGATCAAGAGTGTCCTAGCTGTCACTGAGTTGATTATGTATCTCTCTAATGGCTTGGATAACATCTTCTCTCAAAGTTTGAGTCGCCACTATCTTTCATCTTCATATTATCTCTCCCCCCAAACCCCTACTACTCCCCCCCCCCCCCCCCTTTTTTTTAGCATTTACTTTTTCACTTCCGAGTTTACTACAATGAGATTATATTATATGCAATGCAGTATGACTCATTGTCTTGCAGCAGTGACTTCCTTCCTCCTACTATTTCAACTATATTTTTCAGTACATAATCTATAAAATGCTACATATTTTAATTACCGTATATAACTGAGACAAAAACAAATTTAGTGAAACACATACCAAATTTCTTCACGGACTGTGGACTGTCAAGCTTTACTTTAGTCATAGGAACATTGTCAGAGCTTGTGTCGATGACAACTGTTTCCTTAAATCTGGACATAAAAATTAAAAACAGTTTAACACATAGCGACATTTTATATGTCATCTGAGATTAATCAGTTTAAAGACAGGTATTTAGTTATTTGACATCTTACTCCTTCATTCTGAATGTGTGACCTGATCGGTAACTTACTCTGCAGAATGCCCATCCCCTCCCATCAGGAGATACAGCTGGGAGTGTCCCTTAATTAAATGCAGACCATGATGAACTTTCCTTGCTGAAGATTTACACTGCGGTTATTCCTGACAATCATACATTGAGAAAGTCTCCCTGTGGTAAAGGGGTTAAGCTACTTGCCTTACACTCTGAGAGGTCATAGGCTCAGTTTTGGACTTCATCTTTCAGTTCCCAAGTGGAGGTTTTTCGAGATGCCCCCCCAGAGTTGTCACCAGAACAACAGTTTTATACGTTGTGCAATAATCTCAGTAATCTCTTTTATGCTGCAACTTTCACACACTGAGTGGGAACTCATCTAAATGCTTGGAACTAGTACAACAGAACCAAGCCATCACCAGTCAACAGTTCCATCACTCTAAAATAGAGTGACATTAACTAAAATGACCACTTGTTGATTATCTCATACTGTGCAAAGATTGCATCACAGATGTCACATTTGATTGTCTTAGTATGATAGAGAAATCATGTCTTTAGTGGTGACAAATCAATGATTTCAACCATTTGCTCCTCTCTGTTTGTAACATTACTGAATCTGCAGAAATAAAAAACATACATTACTTTAACAGACTCTAGTTTGTGTGTTCCTCCTTATATGTATACTTGCATATAGGCATGGGGAAGAGAGGGAACAAACAGCCCGGGAGCTACGAGTGACAGTAGACAAAGTGACTGAGTGGTGTACAGAAATTAGGGCTGTCGTCCACCAGGAAAAGGTGTCTGTTTTGTGGTGTTCTCTCAACAACAGGATCGTTAAAGCTATTGTCCCAAGTCTCACGATAGATGGTAGCAACGTCAACAGAGAGAGCAATGTGAAGTATCTGGGAATTACATTTGACAGAGCCTGTCCTTTAAGGACCACGTGGAGAGTGTTGTGACAAGATGCCAGAAAGGACTTAGTGCACTTAAGACTATGGCTGCAATTGACATAGAGCAGAGAATGCTTTTCACACTATATCAGCACCTGATCCTGTCAGTGGCTGATTATTGCCTGGGACTGCTTACCGTCTCAAAGAGTTAGAGGGAAAAACTAGAGCGCATACAGAATGCAGCTATGCGGGTCATTCTGGATTGCACCAGAGACAACTCAGTGGTGTGTATGCAATACATCCTTGGTTTGCCGAATGTCATATCTCAGGGTGCAGGCACAGACCACCCTTTGCACAAAGCTCTGGGTGCAGTTTAGGGTCAGCAACTGATAAGAGGGAAGTCATGGATGGCTCAGACAGAAGACACAATCAGACAGGTTTGCATCCATGAGAAGATTAGGTGAGGAAAGGAGTGGGTCAAAGTGCCACCTGAACACTCAGACTTGTGTAGGGTCATAATCACACTGAGCCGGGAATGCAGAGACTGGTCAGCAGGTGCCACAGAGGTAGAATTTCAGCAATTAATTCAAGATAATGCTTGCTCAGAAGATTTAATCATTTAAACAGACGGTTCACTATCAAAAGGCAAAAGAAGTGCTTGGGGTTTCTTAGCAAAAGTTAGGTCAACGTTTGGTGCAGGAGAGCCTAGCATATGATACTACAACACCCAGCTTAAGAATGGAGGTGGAGGCGATCACTGCAGCTTTCCGCTGGTTAGAGAACACAACACACACATCGTGATTGTAAGTGACTCAGAAAGCACGCTGAGGAAGATCAGGACAGGCATGCTTTGTGCAGAGTGCCATGCCTCGCTGCGGAGGACACAGGTGAGGAGTATTGTCTGGATTTTTTCACCGGGATATGCCGGTGTGTTAGGAAATGAACAGACGGAAGGATTGGCTGGCTCTGCACAACTTAGTGAAATACTGATACATGATAAGACAGAAGTAGTTAATGCCTTGTGGGAGAGCGTGTACAGTTCAGATGGATCACCGCAGTCTGGTGAGATTTATGCAGGGGAGAGTGACGAGAGGTTCTGGCAGATGCTCGAGTCTCAGAGAAAGGTCAAGACGAATGTTTAATCAGAATAATACTGGCACTATTAGTATGGAAACTCTTTGCTGGCTGCTGAAAATAGGAACGGAGAGCTTATGGGAATGCCCCGAGTGCTGTGATGCCAGTTCTTGAATCAAATCAAATCCTTATATGTAATACCAGTGAATACAATGTTAAGATAACTGCAAAAAAGACCTACTTTAACTGATTCCAGTCTGAGTGGCGTGGAAACACCAGTTCTGGAGTCTTGTTCTGTGTAAGGGATATAATCACTTGGAGGCACACATCTTCTATTTTGCAAAGAATGTCCTTATTTTGTGTTGATTCAATTAATTTTTTTTGAGTTGATAAAAACATTCTTGATGGTTTTACTGCCAGGGCCTTTTTTGTGACACACTGCAAAGGAAATAAATTTCAAACATGACACATTAAAGTATTCCCTTTGTGGATTCTGGGGTCCCATGGATGGGAAAACAAGAATAAACTCACTGCCTCACCAAAAAGCAGTTAGTTAGTTACAGTATTTAGTTAAAGTAGTTACTTGACTGGTTGGCTGGTTAATTAGTTAGTTGGTTAGTTAAAGTAGTTAGTTAAAGTAGTTGGTTGGTTGGATGGTTAGTTAGTTTAGTTAGTCGGTTGGTTAGTTAGTTAAAGTAGTTAGTTAGCTGGTCAGTTAGTTGGTTGATTGGCTGGCTGATTAGTTAGTTAGTTGGGTGGTTGGCTGGTTAGTTAGTTAGTTAGTCGACTGTTATCCTCATTGCACTTCGAACCACTCAGCTCATAAGTGCCCTGATCCCCTCCTCAGTAAATCCCTCAGCATGTAGTACCTCTGGACACCAGTTCCGTGTTGGTTTATTACTCTTCTCTGGCTAACCGCGTGGTGTTTTTGTGTGGTGACACCCAATTTAAATTGGTGTTCTTGCAGTGTGACCATGGTTGCAGATTCATAGTTCTTAACTGGTTCACGCAAACGTTTTAAATCCCATAGAGCATCCACTATATGAGTACGTCAGCCTGGTCAATAGCTTGCCCTGCAAGTTTATCAGCCTGCTCATTTCCTTGTACTCAATTGGGTATTTCGGAGCTACGAAGCGTGTTCGCAATGCTTAAGCCACGGACTCTCTGTGGGAGAAGAAACAGGTTTAGATATTTTTTTAGTGTCATGAAACAACTTTAGTTTGACAACAGAAATCAAAGTAAAAGCGAATCTTCGGCTCTCCTCCGAACTTCTACCCCCACATTATGGCAGCCTGAAATATCCGTTCGGGGCTCAGTCCAATGAAAAATTCGGACTTTCTTCTAAGGAAGAAATCGCGGCAAAACTAGGATTACTTGACAATTTCAAGAGATGCAACATTGCAGGCGATAAAAGCAATCGGTGACAATGTCGAGCATTTCTGCAGACAATACTAGCAGACGATAAAAGTGGCTGTTGACAATTTTGAGACATTACAGACAATGAAAGCGATATGGCGGATAGACCACTCGCTCCCACGCAGATTTGCAATACTGTTCTTTTGATTGAGGATTTAGCAGCGGTAGATGTCAGGATTGTCGGCATGCGCAAAGCGCGTTTAAACTCACCGCCGAGCGTATCCCCCGCACCGCTACGCGCGGATAAGGGGGCTTTAACTAGGTGCCTGGGACTCATGAGTAAAGTAACTGGAGGAAGTTGCAGGAGATGCGGTAGCTGCTGCTCATGAGTCCCAGCCATCTAGTTTAGCCCCTATCGCCGGGGGATACGCTCGGCGGTGAGGCATAGTCACAGAAACAGGTCCGCAAGTAACAAATCGCCGAGACCCTGTTAACGCATTTCTTTTGTTTTTCCGAGCCAATCCTAGATTTGCTGCTATTTGTTAGTCGGCAGAAAGTCTGACAAGTCCCCATTTTACATATCTGTTCCTCGGCAGAAAGTCCGACAATGGAAAGTGTCAACGGTCGCTATTATCGCCTGCTACTATCGTCTGCAGTGTTGCGTCTCTTAGAATTATCAGGTAATCAGAAACAATAAGAAACAGGTCCACAAGTAACATATCGCTGAGACCCTGTTAGAGCATTTGTTTCGTTATACGGAGCCGGCATATTTTTAATTGGACTGCGCCCCGAGCGGATATTTCAGGCCGCAATACTGCGGGGGTAGAAGTTCAGAGGAGAGCCGATTTTGCTTTGAAGACATTCTAGTATGCAGTGTAATGAGCAGGCAGACAGATTGGCTGCTGCACCTTATCTGGGGGGTGCCCTACTGTATGAATGAATGAATGAATCAAGATTTTTTCAAAACTGTGTCCTGTTCACGTTTCCCGGTCCATCTACACACTACCTGATTCAAACTTTCTACCTCGAAGAAGTGTCATGTTATGTTCCCTCCAATTACATCAGTGCCGATGTCGTGTGTTACATGCTACACGACGATACAGCTTTTAACGACACCAGAACATGTAGAACTGGCCCTAACCCAAACCTTTAGCCTCAACCTAGGTCACACGAGAGACACTTCTCGAAGAAAGCAGTGCAATGTGACACCCTTCTGACCTAGATAAGACTGCGAAAGTATAAAGGTGTGCTGGGAAAAACGTGAACAGGTCCCATAACTGTACTTATCTCCCGTTGAATTAATCTTTCAGTGTATGCATGCATTATTTGTTCTTTTGTCCTGTCCACTGCAGTCGTCTGCGGTGTTGCGTTGCGTCTCTTAGAATTATTAGGTAATCAGAAACAATAAGAAACAGGTCCGCAAGTAACATATCGCCGAGACCCTGTTAGAGCATTTGTTTCGTTATACGGAGCCAGCATATTTTTAATAGAACTGAGCCCCGAACGGATATTTCAGGCCGCCACAATGAGGGGGTAGAAGTTCGGAGGAGAGCCGAATCTTCCTTCTTACTTACTTACTTTGTTACAAAACCAACAAACTCAACGGCTGAAACGTTTCTGTAGGTACTTGCTATCCTATTCGTGTTAATTATACGTTAGGGAAAGTGTCACTTGAATAACCGTCTGCGAACATATAACACAAATGCAAAAGAAACAAATATATCAAACCAGCAAAAAAGAAAGAACTTTAAGAACCTTATCGTTTGGAAACTGCTCAAAAATAAAAGACGCCAAAACCAGGCCAGATTTTTATGTGTGATGAGTCAAAACACGATAATGAAATAACATTCCCAAGGATAGTGAAACTATGGGGGTGACTGCAGTCAAGCTAATACAATAAATTCAAGAGAAATTTGACTAAAAAGCTCAACAAAATGGGAAAGAGGAAAACGTGCACAAAACAACACAACGTAACGTTTCGGCCGGGCAGCCTTTTTCAAACACAAGTGAAATACACAAACGAGGAATGGAGAGTATGTAGATCTCTAAGGGGTGACGTGAGCGACGTTTAAAAATGTGATGCGGAATAAATGAAATAAAATAAAATAAACGATGGCTAAAAAATATAGTCACAATACTGGGAATAAAAGAAATGCAAGTGTTAATGATACATAAATGATATTGATAAGAAATAGAATATGGTAATAATATAAAATAAAATAAAATAATTAATATTTAAAATGTGATAAGATTAGAACTATTTAGATGAAGGTATGTTGGATATTGATACCTCTTGGACTGAGAACGCCAAGGCTGTGGATAAGGCGATTGTCCAAAGCGAGGCGGGTAGTATGATCGCCAGAGCAAGATTTTAATGCTGTGACAGATATGTCATCTTTACCGCTGTGGTCAGGGCTATTGAAATGAAGAGGGATTGGTTTGAGTGTCTTTTTGTCGATATCAGAGAGGTGTTCCCGGAAACGATCAGTTAGCTTCCTGCCAGTCTCCCCAGATTTGGAGCTGGCCGTGATTCATTCATTGATTCATTATCACGTTGTGCCATTATATGTCACTGTCATATCGGGCTCGCAGTCTATCCTCCATTCTGTTCTATCCTGTGCAATCCGTTCAATGTCATGGATGGAATCCAGTCCAGCATCTTTGGCCTCTCTCATCAACGTTTGTCTTAGGGTTTCTTTTGTGTATCCTCGTCTGATTCCGTTTTTTCCCATTGTAATGCCTGTTTTGTGATTTTCTTCTGGTTTCTTCTCAGGATGCGAACAATATAGCACCATCTTCTCTGTCATTTAACTTGATACTAGAGCTTGCTCAGACATTTCTCGTATTTCTTCACTATTTTTCTTCTTCTTCTTCACGTTCACCGGCTGTAAACTCCGACAGAAATTTGTGGTTATTCGTCTACTTCTGATCTCCAGTCTTGTTCCAGAACCTGGGTGTTGCATGCACATCCGTTTTACAGATCTAACTTATTTGTGTGCAGATTGTTGTGCTGACCCATCTGTAAACACAAACCCAAGGATCATGCAGGTATTCATCATCGAGTAGACAAAGGGTGGCTATTTTACGCTGTAAACTGTTTTGTTCTTCCTTGTCAAATACTCCTTCCAAGGGAATACATTTTAGCAGATTTGACAATTTATTCTACGAGAGTGCTTCTTATTGCTGTAAATATTATTTTTACGCCTAAATTTTGAACCTTGTTTGGTTTTGATGTTTCTTTTTGCTGCTCCATCCCAGGAGCTTGAAATATAGCTCAAATAAGAGGGGGAGGGGGCAAGGAGGAGGAGAAGAAGAAGAAAAAGAAGAAGAAGAAAAGGAGCAGGAGGAGGAAAAAGAAGGAGGGGGAGAGAAACAGCAGGCGGAGGGAGACTGAACTGAACTGAACTTCTACCCCACCAGGACATCACACAAGCAATAAACACCCGATGACACAAAGTGCCACCATGTGGATGAGGATCGCCGTGGAGAGGTCTCAGAAACCGCGTTCAGACATTTGGCCATATATATGGCCTGCCTATATTGCGGCCCCTGGCAAAAGCCAGAGTAGGGCTTCAAATGACAAAAAATTTCGTCCTAAAAAGAACGAAATTGGATATAGCGGGGGGGGGGGGGGGGAAGACCCCTTTCGTATTTACTCAAAAGACGCCGACATAGTAAACGAACACTGCAGACGTTTGGTACATTTAGTAAACGAACACTGCAGACGTTTGGTACTTACACTCCCTCCCTACTCAAGATACAACATTGTATTCAGTGACGTATCTGAACGGTTGTTCATTTAGAACCCACGATGTGTAAAGAATGTTTAAGTATTCAAGATTCTACTTTATTGTAGCACCGAGCCTTTGTTTCTGCTCATTTCTTTTTGATGTGGATCTTCCTGCACTTATTAATAAGGGAGATAACCTGTTAAACTGTGAATACTTTAGTCTATGGATGGAGTTGTCATCCTGCTTTTCAATTTAAATGTAAGATTTATTTTATTAATCAGTAGAACGCAATCAAAAGTAACAAAAAGGAGC